CAATGGGGGGAAAGGGGGGCATCCGTAATACTCTCAACACTAAAGATAAATTTTTTTAAACTTGACATATAAAATTCTATTGGAATTTGTAGTATTCTAACAGATTCAGCTATAATACTGAGAAATACTGTTAGGCATTAGAGTAGCATTTACATATGTTACCTACCATATGTGACATTGTGATTTAACTCAGCTCTTCGTAAGGATTCATCAAGAACATCATACATTAATTCACTTGTCCTGTTTAAAAGATATTTTATTTGCAGAATTATAGTAGTATAACCCAATAAAACACAGTTTTTCAAACTTCTCTCTATAAAACTGAGGCTCTATAGAAAAGTGAAAAAAATTCATTTTATGGGGAATTTCACTTTTTAAAGATTCCATTTGCTCTTTTTCATGAGTTTAACTTCCTGCTTTATCAAAGTTGACTAGTCAATGAAGATAAACATAAGTCAATCAACTCCTTCCCCAACCTGTACCTAGTTTACAAATCAGGCTTTTGTTTGGTTCAACACACTATCTTTTATAATTTTCTTTATAATAAAATATTTCTACCTGTTTCAAGTTACTACAGTAATACCTCACATATCCAGATTATTCCAGACAGTATATCATCTGTATTCAAACCACATAATTTTTTAAAAGTATTCAAATATTAGTCTTTCTTTAAGCAGCACTAAGTTCAGAAAGAAAACTTTAGCTTTCATGTATGTTAAATACAGAGAAAATTAACAAATTTGTACCATTCCTGACTTTATGATCACTGATTACTGATACAACAACTGGGTTGAGGTAGATACTGTAAGGAAATGCAGCACTCATCCTCCTGCCTAGAAAAGTCCTCTCCAAGATGCCAATGCAAAACCTATGGCCTCTCAGACGGTATTTTGGCATGTTTTACAAATTCAGAAAGCACTAACAAATAAAAACTACCTCAAAGTTCCTTCCTGACAACATATGATGACATTAAATCTTTTTAGACCAGTAAGGTCTAGATGCATTACTATGAAATTTGTGGTTTTAAAAGAGAATTTCAGTGAACTCCAACTAGAGCTCCAAAATAAGATAGGCTGGGTTACATAAAATAAAATATAATTAGGAGAAACATTTCTAATGTGTGTGTCTTCTCCATCCCATCCAGGTTTTCACTCTAGGTTTCAATCAGGGTTGAGATTCATAAACACAGAAAAAAAAATAGCAACACCAAGAGTGATATAACCCAGTTAGCACTTATCAGGAGCACTCGGCAAATGGATGCTGACAGGACGCTAACAAGGCATTACTTAGGAGCAACAGCCCAGGGGACAATGCCTTCATAAAGGTAGGCTAAGAATCAGAATGTAAATTAATCTTACTGCATAAAAAAGAATGGTACTTCATGAAGTCAGAACACTAATTAGCAAATATTTTAAGAAGAAACACTTCAGGGTCTCAAGCCATGGTCCTTGTTCTCAAGGAAAATAAAATCTAGTTGGACTTGCGCTCAAACAGTTCTGAAAACAACTAAAAACAATGTGTGCACACATGCACATACAGAACGGAAGAAAAAGAATCAGCCCGGCCGGGCGTGGCTCAGCAGTTGAGCATCAACCTAGAGTCCAGGCGATCAGGGTTCGATTCCCGGTCAGGGCACATGCCCGGGTTGTGGGCTCGATCAATGATTCTCTAATCATTGATGTTTCTCTCTCTCTCTCCCTCTCCTTTCCTCTCTCTGGAATCAATAAAGATATATTTTTTAAAAAAAAAAAAAGAAAGAAAAAGAATCAGCATATGCAAATAATGAACCTAGGTAAAGGGCATAAGAGAGGTCCTTGTACTATTCTTGGAACTCTTCTGTAAGTCTGAAAAACTACGGCAAAATAAAAAGACAATATATATAACAATGGGAAGATACCCATAAAATATAAATTACTGGCTAAAAGAGTAATTCAGACAAATGAATTAAGAAGGTGAAATGCTCATGTCCAACTAGAGCAAGGGTCAGCAAGCTATAGTCTGCAGGCCTCATCTGGCTGGTTGTCTATTTTTTTTGTATGGCTGCTGGCTAAGAATGGTTTTCACATTTTTAAATGGTTGGGGGGGAAATCAAAATAACATTTCACGACACATAAAATGCATGATATTCAAGTTTTAATGTCCATAAAAAGGTTTTTATTAATTAGCTGTGCTCATTTATGTACTGTCTGTGATTGCTTTCGAGCTATACAACAGCAGAATCAAATGATTGCAACAAATGACATACAGCTCACAAAGCCTAAATATTTATTACCTGGCCCTTGACAGAAAAAGTTTTCCAGTCCCTAAACTAGAATGACTAAGAAAGCTTTGCAGAAGACATAAAGCTTCAGAGGTACCTTTCACTAGAAGTACGATTTTTTTTTTTTTAATCCTCACCAGAGGATATTTTTCTCATTGCCTTTTCAAAGAGAGTGGAAAGGGGAGGGGGAGAGGGAGAGAGAAACATCGATGTGAGAGAGACACATCGATTGGTTGCCTCCCACACTCGCCCCAATGGGAGCCGGGGTACATGCCCTTGGCCAGAATCAAGCCCAAGGGCCGACTCTCTAACCACTGAGCCAAACTGGGTAGGACAGGAGTAGGATTTAGATAAGCAGAGAGCCAGGATTACCCTAGCACCTGAATCCATATACTTCTTATAAAGTGTTTTACTTATCACTACTTAGCCAATTAAGCATTGGGGAAAAGCTGGTGTATCTTGAAACCTCCAGGTGACTACAGCCTAAGGCTGTCAAATTTACTTAGTTTACCTTTGATCATCTTTTCCTAGCAGTCCTAGTATTCTCAAGAGCTGAATTTGTAACCATGGTGCTGGAACGCTGTGGTAATTGAAATCTACTGGGAGCTTTCCTCCAACTACTTGCTTCAAAATTGTTACAAAACTCCCCGTCAAGTCTTTATATCCAGATGAATTCTCCTATGTCCAAAAAACAAAACAAAATAAAAAACTTTCTGTTAATAATAATATCTTAAAACATATAAAATAGACTTGGTTGAAATGCCATATAGAATCTAACTTAATACATGTTCACTTAGAGTTTCACGTTCACATTTAATGAAATAGTGCTCTGTTTCATTTCTTCCATGATGAAACTCCTCTGGCTACCCAATCCAAAGCTGAATCATCCCCCCAAAAGTTTCCACCACTCCCTACTTGTTCCCACACATAGTATAATCACATTTCAGAAGTTCTTATAATTACATCTCATATAGAACCTTTAATAGTAAATACCAGCAATTAAATCAGAAAAGTAAAAAGAACTGGCATACTGAAAAGGGGCTGTTATATCTCTATTTTTGATGAAAATTAAGGCCTTTATGCAATCTCTGAAGTTTGCAAAAGACTTCTCATGTAAATGAGCTAAATGTGTTCTGGGTGGAAGAGCCCAGAGTACAGCCAAGACTACTCAAACATTTAAACCATCCAAAATCAGCAAATCTGTCTATTAAAAACCAACTAACCCTACAGTATTTAAATATGTTTGTTTCTGAATGAGTGTACCTTGATTATCTGACTAATCTCTTGGACTGGGGAAATTAAATACACAGTCCTCAAAATGAACTAGATTAATCACTGTAATTTTATTCTATATCAAGGACACATTTTTTGAAAGGAAAAAATAGCTCTTTCAAAGTTTAGTAAATGTCAGAGGAAAAATAAGACTTACTATCAAATATCTATTTATATCATACAGTTTTGGAACATAACGCATGAAAGTGAAGATACCTTCAGTTCTATAATTTTAACTGAATTCAAAGCATATTCCATTTTGTTACAAGGTACTCATGAAATGGCCCACAAATATATACTTTAAGTGTTTCACACAATACAGTGGGGCTGAATTAGTATAAACCCATGTCACCATTTAGAACATTTTTTTACCATACCATTCAACTCTCGGAGCTTTTCTGACCCAGTATCAGTGTATGGCATCAACACTGAAGTTGATACCCTGCACAACCCCTATGGGCTCTCCTCATTTCTGTAAGCTGTTATACATCCCATAAAAGACAATCACTGCTTGAAAACCCACAAATTTGCAAATTTCAATCACCTTCATACCTACCATTTTGCTATGCTTCTACAGGAACACAAAAAAATTTTAGGCATTAAAAAAAAAAAGAGTGCCCTGGCTCAATGGTTGGAGCATCATCATGTGCACTGAAGGGTCTTGGGTTTGAGTCCCAGTCAGGGCACATACCTAGGTTGCACGTTCAATTCCCAGTTGGGGTGAGTATGAGAGGGAACCAATCGACATTTCTCTCTCTATATCTCCCTCTCCCTCTCCGTTCCTCTCTCTCTAGAATCAATGTAAAAAGAATATCTTTGGGTGAGGATTAAATAATAATAAGACTAATTCTAAAATGTGCCTACTACTCATGCTATCAACAACTTGCAAAAATTACTATTTAAAAGTCAATAATAAAAACTTGAAATGTTAATTAAGCATTTGACTGAAAAATCTGAGTTCTTTTTTAATTCCATTATTATATTTTTCTAATGGCAACTACTTAGCACCCACTGAAATTTCCAACTTACCTTAATCATCCTATGGTATATGTGCAAGGAAGCAGCCATGACCCCAACATCTCTGTCACAAAGTGCTTTCCGAAACTTAACATGGATATGCTGTACTTGATTAGGAGCAATGAGATGGAATTTGTATAATGCCAGAACAGCTTTTCTTCGTATAATCTCCCTAAAGGTAAAAAATGAAATCTGAACAAACCATCTAAATTGTCAGGCATTTAATTTGGAAAGATTACGGGCCAAATGATTTCAATATATTAGCTATCACCCTAACCTAAAAAGAGAGAATTACACATTTACTATTAATTGCCTTTTTAAAAATTTACTTTTATTGATTTGAGAGAGAGAAACATCGATTTGATGTTCTACTTATTTCTGTATTCATTGGTTGATTCTTATATGTGTCCTGACCATAGATCAAACCCACAACCTTGGTGTGTAGGGATGACACTCTACCCAGCCAGGGCTATTACTAATTTCTTTATTCTAATCCGCCAAACTATAAAAAGTGGTTATCTCTAGGAGGTTAGACGTCAAGAGACTTTGACTGTTATATCTAAGGTATCCCAAAAAAATGTATACACACACTTTGAATAATTATAAAGGCGGGAATTATTAAAACACATTTCATTTTCAAAATTGAGCTATCAGCTGTTACAGTGTGTACAAATTTTGGGGGACACCCTGTATTTATCTAATTATGGAATTTTTTTTGGTAACAAGCATATATTACTTTTGAAAGAACAAACAAGGAAGATAAATAAATTCCTTAATACCCTAATTCCATTTTTGAAAGCCATCTCTCTAGAAATTGGGAAAAGAATCAACAGGAAGTTTAAATCAGTAAGGGGTAACTACGGCTAGTATTATTAAAGAATCTTGATTAATATTAAAAGTCTCTTTAACATTCTAGCTTTTTATATTTCATTTTTATACCATGAGCAAGCATAATCCAAATATTTTAAGGGGACAGGATTCAAGTAAACAATGTTACTCCTCTCTTTGCCCAGCTCATGTTTCAAAAACCTCATTACAATGAAGAGGAACAAATATACAAGTCTTGCACTTCATTTGTCACAGATAATGTTTAGCACACAAGTAAAAATAGAGTTCTTATCCTATGTTCATAATGTAGTTTCCAAGAAAGTATATTCCTTGTTATTCTCTCTCATGCCATGTCTACCTACCTCATATTCACAGACTACACTGGCATTGCTCACAGCAGCAGCAAATGTCACAAAAGTATATTTACTTTTATGTATTGCTGTTACTTAAAATCATAGAATATCAAAACTGAGATTATTCAATGCAATCTTCTGTGTTCCACTTAACAATACCTTTCGTAAGATTCCTAACAAATGGTCATCTAAGCTTCTGCTAAATTCCATTAACAAGCAACTCACTATCTCCCCAGGCAAACTATGCCATGATGGAAAATTCTTTTCACATAGAAACAATTAACAACAAATTTGCCATTAGTATTAAAACTATGGTGACAGTAAACTACATCCCAATGTATTGCTATTGGGTATTAACCAATATTAGTTCTGGGAGAGAATAGGTAAATGAGATTAGAAAAAACAAACTCTGAACAGGCTCAGGAATGCCTAAGTCTGGCCCTAAGTGGTGGCACTAACACACCAGAACTCAAGAGACCTAGATTTGAGCTCTAAGTCTGGCATGCCGAAATACAGCCAGGGATTCAAAGTCGAGTCCAACCCCTGTCTCACATCTTCTCTGTGACATTCACTGGCCTACCTCTAGCTCTGTCCCATATTCTTTAGCTTCACTCCATAACATGGAATTAGATAGTCATACTGCAGAAGCAGAGTTTCAAAGTTTAACTAGCAGAAGATAGGATAGTACAGGATTTGAAATTAGAAAAGATGGGAAGCAATAAGAAAAAAACTGAAAGGGTAAATGGGAAATGCTAAAGGGAAAAAATCAATTCCCAGAAGAATTTCATACAAAGAGTCAGTAAATATGATTACCACAAAAGAGTGGTAGTATGAAAATTTTATATAAAAATATGCTCTGCTATGATCAGATCAATCTATAATTATTAAGAAAAGCTAATATTTTACTTTCAGTGATTGTCAATATCCATCATTTGTTCTAAACACAAATTTGACATAAACAAAACATTATAATAAGTCTGCAAAATCTATGAAATTATTCTATCATTCTCAATAAAACTATCATTTTAGCTATTTCTTTAAAAATACAAACCATAAGTCAACATTTTATAATCTCAGAACACTAAAAACACTCACATAAAGAAGCATATGAAATAAAGAAATATTGTTGAGCCCGGCCGGGTGTGGCTCAGCGGTTGAGCGTCGACCTAGGATCCAGGCGATCAGGGTTCGATTCCCGGTCAGGGCACATGCCCAGGTTGCGGGCTGCAGCTAATCAATGACTCTCTCATCATTGATGTTTCTATCTCTCTCTCTCCCTCTCCTTTCCTCTCTCTGAAATCAATAAAGATATATTTTTAAAAAAAAAGAAATATTGTTGAGTAACAAAAAGCATCCTTTATCAAAAATGTCTGCATAACTAAAATTTGAATACAGCAGTTTTAATATAAAAGCACCTCCAATACACTGAAACTCCCCATATTCAGAGCACTTGAATTATTTCCAAATGTTTTCCATTATTTCACTTTATCCTCAAAACAACTTTGTGAAAATTAAGGAGCTTCAACCAACCTCACACAGCCAAGGGAAAACCAGGACCACGGCTGGTTAGTGGTAGAAGTGGGAAGAAAGCCAAAGACTCCTGACACTAAGCTCCTGACTGTCTCTCAGTTTAACTTTATAAAGCTGCCTAATATTTTTCCAAACCCACATAAAAACAAACGACGATGTTATTGGGGATTTTTGCATTTCATCTGACAAAGAATATACCCTACCTTGGTAGCATTAAGTTAGTTATAATAAATTTTTTAGTATAAATTTTTGTTTTGAGATATATAGTGTATACACCTATCCAAAAAGAATTTACTTACTTAGAATGTTGAAGTTTATCTTCTATTAATGGAAGAACAGCTGGAATCATTTCTTGAGGGAAAATCTGGCTGACAATAGTAAGTGCCATACATACTTCCACCAGGTTAGTGCTCTGCAAGTCCTGACATAATTGTTAAGCAAAGAAAACATTCAGTACAAATTTCAAAATGAGGGATAGCAAGCTCAACACTGCAATGGTCCCACATACTTAACAGTTTTCTACTAACTTTATAACTAATCTGTACATGCACGCTTACCTCATATTTTATAGGAATATCCCTGTCTCATTTGCCTTAACAGTCAATAGATAAACACAGCCAAAAAGCAACTGATCCAAAAGGAAACTGTATTTCTGTTGTTCTGACAGTGGCCAAAATAGTCTCATTTATTACAGCTTTTAAAACGTTTCTAAACTAATAACCAATTTTATGAATTTTTCTTGTTAAGCAATATTATGAATGGAAGTTTAAAAGGAAGTAATTCTCAAATATATACAATAAAATGTATGCATTCATACTTATATATGCACAAATTTTATAAATCATTCCAATAGAAACTGAAAATATATTTTTAAAAGTTTGGAAAAATTTAAGCTTCTAGTAATCTTAATAGAGTATACGACTTAAAATTCAGAAAGAACTATACACACACACACACACACACACATCAAAAGACTGACACAAACATGAAAATACTCAACAATTCAATTATACTTCATTACCAATTTTGATTAAATATTTAACAGGAAAAAAATATTGTGAGTATGGATTAAATTTTTTTTATTATCTGTACATTCCAGTTGCCCAGTTATATTCTATTCTCCTTTAAAATGACTTTTAGAATTTAAAATATTTATTCGGTTTACATCTATATTCCTTTAGAACAGATCCCAGAGAAAGAGACAACAGCATGGAAATATACTGAACTAAGAGTCTGGAGATCTGAGTTATAAGTCTAACACTGCTTTTTTAAATGAAGCAGTCAGTCACAGTAGCAGTAGCAACTATCACATTACATAGTGTTTCATCTAACCCTCACAACTTGGTTAAATTCTATCATTATCCTTTTATAGATACAGGAACTGATCTAAAAGATCTTCCTAAGCCCATTCTGTAAGACTACCTTCCAAAAATATCTAATTCAAGATGACTGAGGAAAAATGTCAGATGCCTGCAGATATCATTTCAGACTTCATAATAACCAACATGCAATACAGTACCTTTACAACTGTATTCACAAGGAGAAGCAACAGCTCATGACTTTCATGTAGAAATAAAGACACCGCTAAATAACCTATAAAATTTGAAGGGAAAAGTCTCATTACAACGTTTCCCAAGAAGTTAAACAAAGCAATCATCATATATTCCAAAGTTTAAGTGTCAAAGATAACAGTTGCAGGTAAATATAAAAACAAAATGCAAAATACGAAGTTTAAAACCTCTAGTAAGGAAGATTTCAGGTGTTCTCCATCCTGAAACCTTTCAGAATTACGTATTTCACAGGGTATACCTAAGATGGAAAAGAGGCTATGTATACCAACTTACAGCCATGTAAAGGACATCAGGAATATAAGCCTTCTATGTTCTGTGCAAATCTCTACACAACCAATCAAAACATTTTCTATCCTGTAGTCAAACCCAGAATTCCTCAAAAACTAATAGCTACCACAGTTAATAGTGTGTTACTGGCTATTTGTGTTATTGAATGAGCTACCCCCTAATACCACACCATATGATGTAAATCATATATTAAGCCAAAAACAATACCTTATGTTCTCGATTTAAAGATACATCATTGAATGAATAACAGCTGTTCAGGAAAAAACTTGTCTACTCCATTAAATGTACTCATTGACTTAAATAAGTATTTTTATTTCAAAAGCATTAAAACATAAAAAAGTACATCTTAGGATTGAGGAAATACATTAATATTAAGAAAAATGCCATGTATGTGGAACCTACATACTCCATATCATTTCCTGTCACACTTCATATTGATAACATTTGTTAGACAGTTACCATGGGTTAAGTACATTACAAGTCTCACCCTACTTAATCCTCACAACAACTCTATGAGATAGATATTATTTCCCCCAATATAATAATGAAGCCCCAAAAGGGTAACTGCTCAAGGTCTATAGCTATCACATGGTGAAACCAGAGATCAAACCCAGCCAGTAGGAGTTAGTTCATGTTTTTAACCCCTATGCTGTTCCGTCTCTCCACACAGTCTACTGTGAGGCCCTAGTCCCTGAATCCCATCTTCACTGCTCTTCATTTGTCTCAATTCTTTCAGCCCTTTCATTAGGGACTTTAATGTTAACTATGCCCATCATTACCCAGCATCCACATGGGGAACATGGGAAAAATGCAGAAAGTTCCTATTCTCACAACCAAGCAGCGTGACCCACTGCAACATCTTCACCGAGGGTCAGAGGAGAAGAGCTATTACTCCCATAATCATAAGAGGGCAAAAATAACCAACCAGAGCCAAGGAAGAGATGAGAAAACCCCTAGAGAGCTTTAAGCGGAAATTATGTTTTATCAGATTGCTAAGAACTCATCTGTTCAGCTAAGGTATCACCCATACCCAAGTCACCAATATCAGAGCACAAGAAGATCAAAAAACTAACTCAAAGATCATCTCAATGAAACCTTAATTCTATCTGTTATAAAAAATTTCCCAACTATCTTGACAATCAGGAAACAGGAAAAAAGATATATTCTATGACAGGAAAATGAAAAAGGTTTCAGGAAAACAAAGAATAACACCTATAATTATAGAGTATATTTGCTCTAAGAGTGAGGTATAGCATAATAATACAGACTTTGACTCACAGAAACTTGGGTTCACATTCTGGCTCCACCATTCATTAGCTCTATGACCTTGGACAAGTGACTTGACCTTTCTGAGCCTCAGTTTTCTCCTCTGTAAAATGAAATACTCTCTCACAAGATAAAGCACCTAACATAATGCCTGACTTAATGGGTACTGAAATTTATTTATTTAACAATATTAATATGAAAAACAAGAAGGCATTCATCAGAGAAAGCACCAAAACTAGCCTTAGTAATCTCAGAAGAGTTAATGAAGCAACTATACCAGAATGAAGACATGTAAAAGGTTTAAATGCTATCATAAAAAAACAACTTCCATTCATGAGCACACATAGAGTATCTGATACCTGCAGATCTATGTCTCTCCAGTTGTCAATATTTTCTTAAGGAAGATCATGAATCTCAATAAAAATGACTGTGAGGTCTCCTTTAACGTAAGTCTCCATAACCTGGCTGGGTAGCTCAGTTGGTTAGAGCATCATCCCAATAAGCCAAGGTTGCAGGTTTGATACTTAGCCAGGGCACATACAAGAATCAACCAAAGAATGCACAAATAAGTAGAACAATACATCAATGTTTCTCTCTCTCAAATCAATAAAGTGTTTTTTAAATAAATAAATAAAAAGATGCCTCTAATCCTCATGGTTAACATTTGTGAAACTGCAAACAGCATATTTAATATTATTCAAGTCAATTTCAGTTTTATTCTATAAAGAAACATTTCTGATCATTAAACTAATGAGTTTAGATAGACTTCTTAAAATTAGCTTCACTGCGGTAAATATAATTTGCATAGAAGAAAATTCACCCATTTTTAAGTGTACAGTTTAATGAGTTTCACCAAATATATATATTGTCATCCAACCACAATCACAAGAACAGGCAATTTTTAATCTTCTCTATATCTCCAAAATGCTATGGGTCAGGAATACTGATTTTATTTATAGGCTTTGAGTTTTCAAGTACTATTACCTTTTTAAAGCTTTGGAAACTATAAGGCAATGTTCTAAAAACAGAGTATAGACCCACCATCATTCACTTTATACAGTAGCTGTAACTTTAAGGACAAAATTAAGTCTTAAACACATACATACCTACTCTTTTTTCTAAAAGGTTTCCTTGTTGTGCCAATTTGATTGCATGTATGTAGCCAAAGGAAGCATCATATCCAAGCATTTCACAATATATAAGTCTCACCATACATTCTTTCATCATTTTCTGAAAAGCAAAACTGTGTAATTAAATAGAATGTTTTGATTTTTTTTATTAATCATTTAACGGGAATCCTTTAATTTTGGCACTGAAAAAAGAACATACATATATATATTATAAATTAATCACAAGAAGTCAAACTTTATAAACAAAAGTTGCTCCCTAACTTACTGACAGTATTCACTTTAGTAAAATAATTTAAATATTTTGTTAGTGGCAGCACTATAAAATAGATCAACTGTAGCTGTTAATAGTTCCAGATGCCCCTCGTGTAAAATTTGGTTGTAAAATTTGGTTATAATGTGAGACACATGATCCTTAGACAAAATTTTACCCTTGGTAATCTGATTTGGCTTCTAGGATGCAGCACACTATTTTAATATATTTTGTCAAATGAAAATATACATAAAATTCCCACGAGTTGGTAATAATTTCTGTAATGAAATGTTTTTCACATTTAAAAACTAAATTGCATGTAGACTTTCTTCAGAATTATTATGTTGTATATACCATTCAATAGTTTGCTTTATAGGCATTCTTTTTCCACAGCTCTCACAGTTATTATGAACTAAAGGGCATGATTTCATTAATGATAGAGCCATTTCAATATTTAATTTTTTAACTGGCTCTTTAAATACTTACAACACAAGTAAATAAGTTGTGTTAGGAGATTCTATAAATTTGTTTATATAATATTTGCAAATATTTTAATATTTGCACTTTTTTACTATTGGATCATTGAGTATTCTCAATACTTAACAACAAATTTTAATCAGAAATAAAAAAATATAAATAAAATGTGCTTCAAAATAAGAAAAGCTCAGACTGTTTTCATATCTAAAAGTTAATTAGGGTTAGTATACTACAGGATTACTGTCACAAAATCCTTATGAAACAATAAAATAAAATATTTTAAAGTAAGGATAATACTGTTTAATACTTTGTTTATATATATGTATATATGTAAATATGAATCATGTTAAAAGGAACCATAGGAAAATCTTAGGGGAATAAAGCTTAATTCAGGTTACTTGTATTGAAAGTAATATAAGTTAATTCATTAGCATGTTAAACTACTAAATACTGAGAAAACAAGCTTATAAGATACTGGAAGTCCCTCTTCAAAAGACTTCTACATCAATCAGGAGTGAAAGTGTTCATTTAAAGCCACTAAGTATCAACCCTCGTTTTATAACACTTATCTCAGAGTTTTTCCCTTATTTCTAGAGAAGAAAGTGCATTCCCCACTTCAGGAATTCTCTTTATAATTGTCTCACAAACTCACCCAACCTCTTCGTGACCACCTCAGGGACAGACTACTCTATAAAGCATGTCCAGAGTTGGATGGCCATAACTGTAAAATCTTCTTTCCTAACTTCTACCTATTTATCTTAGTCCTGCCCTCACCAGATTTATGCCTCATAGCAAGAAAAATTATATTTATTGATACCAATTATAGAAAATGGAAATCTAACAAAGTAAAAAGAGGGAAACCATTTCTGCTTAACATTTCCATCAAGTACCATGCAACACTATGATTTTATACATACACACAGACATATGTACACACACAAACACATATACATAATACACAGATATATCAGATTAGTTATGTTTTGAGTTTCATTTGTCCACATATTATATCATAAAAGTACTAACATTCTCTCAGACTTTACAAGTGTTATTCATGTACATGCATGAATTCATACAAAGTGATCATCTGATATTTTTATTAGAGGAAGAGGGAGAACATTCCCACAGTGACTTACACACAGAAGGCACTCACTAAATCTTTGCTGAATAAAATATTCCTTGGAAAAATCTAATTGTGTGAAACCACATTAAAATTAGGAAAGAAAAAAAACACATACCTAGGTCTTAATCTAATGATGTAGAAACAATCCCACAGTGACTATTGTTTAAAAAATCTAATTATATGGAACCAAGTTTAAAAACAACTGGATTCTGATTTAGATGCTAGGCAATAAACTTAGTTTTAAGACAAGAAAACCATTTTTTATCTTGTCAGTCAGTCAAACTATACTCTAAGATGTATAACAGTAAAATGAGATCTACAACATGTCAATTTAGGCCTGAAAATACTATTTTAAATGACATATACTCACCTTTTCCCAGGGCACAACATTAAAACAGTAAGATCAGCACTGGGGTCCCAGGAGTACTGCCACATTTATGTAATTATCATCACATTGGCACTAAATTGACATCAGTCAAGCAAACCTTGCTCCATGCAGCCAGTCAATAATAAAAGGCTAAAGTTAATATCTGACTTGCTACCATTCATAACTGATTGTGACTATGATAAATCAGATTTTAGCAAGTGATCAATTAGATGTCACTATGGACTCTACAGTGGGCAAGGTTTCTAATTCCAAAGGTGCTGGCACTGACTATGCAAACTTACCAGTGTTGTTGTCGGAGCAGAAACCGCTGCTTTCAGATTACTCAGTTCCTGCTGGATTAATTTCTCTTCCTCCTGAAAAAGAGTGAAAATATTAAAATTCATGAACTGTCTTTTTAAATGGTTAGAATATTTTTTTAAAGGGAAAATATAATTTATAATACTTTCAATAAGAAGAAACATTATTTTAAAGGACAGTCCTAAAAATTATGTGTTTAAGATTTGCTTAAAGGTAAATCTCCAACCCTCAGACTCATTCCTGGGAAGAATAAATATTTCCAGTCTAACCCACCTTCCTCTCTTTTTCACTCAGTTATTGTCCCCTTAAAGACAGTTTAGTAGAAAACTGTGTGTGTGTTTTTAAATTAATAGTGGAGAAAAAGAACAGAAATTCATGTACTGGCCTGCAATAAGGGTCTCACCTCTTCCCCTTAAGTTAAAAGGTCTTCATGGAATAGAGAAATAGGGTAAGAAGGCATAACCAGAAATCAGTCTGTTTCCCTTACACTATATCCCTCTCTGTCCTCTTGTTCTCACTGCTTGCATCCTTCCCCTCACTTCCCATCTCTCTCTGACACAATAAATACACCAATGTGGTTCTTTCTATCCTCTGCACTGTATCTTACCTCCTTAAAAGCACTTGAAAACTGGCCCCATTTTTAGCTAATACAATGCTATCTTTAAATTACGCATTGAATTTGCGGGTGGCTAATCAGGAACTACTGGTAAAGGTCTGCCACATACAGGTACCTTACATATAATTTCAAACTGCAATTTAGGACCAGAAATAACATTTTAAAAATTTCACTCAGCATCTCAAAAAATTAGCCAAGGACAAAACATTAAGACATTCAACATTAAGTCCACAAATAATGAATTTTGAATGTGAAGCAGACCCTCTCCAGTACAGCTTCATCTTATTTCAGTTTTAAAAGAACATTTTAAACACTCAGAGCACTTTGAAGAAAAACCTTCGCCTTTTATTCTCTCCTGGTACTTATTTCATTGTATATTGCTTATCCTCCTCTCAAGCCCAAGATCAACGCCTTGGGGGAAGGAAGTGTGTGTTTTCCTGTCTCCTCGGTGTCTAACACATAACCTCTCCCATAAATATCTTCTGAACAAGTTATGACATAACATACTTTTTATAAAGATATAAGCTCCTTGAAGCTTTGAATCAGTGTCTTACACAATCTGTGAAACTACCAAAAATCTATGAAAACTTAGTAACTTGGAAAATAACTGCTCATTTTCAAAATCCATCGGAGGCAGTGATTCATTCAGCAACTTTTACATTTCGGATGAATTACACTTCTTTCTTTGCCCTACCCATTGGTCTAACTAAAAACCTCAAGCTCCCCAAAGCTGTTCGACCGCAGGCCGAGCCGGCCGGGTCTGCGCCCGCGCGACAGCGGGCAGACGGAAGGCCAGCGGGGCGGAGAGCCCTGAGCGCGACAGAAACTTCGTGGAAGGTGAGCGCTGACACTTCCACCGCGCTTGAACTTTTTCGCACGCTGGATGCCTCACCCGATCCTATGAAATGTGTATTGGTCCTTTCCCACTTCAACGTTCAGGAAACACATGCAGGTTCCAAAATTAAAGAGATGTGCCCGCAGATCAAAGCGAGCCAGTGTGAGGGGCAACTGTGGGAACCCGGCCTCCGGTGTCAGGCCCGGCAGGAAAGGGGCGCTTCCAGACGGCCGCGGAGACGGCCGACACGC